ATGCAGGGATATCACTGACTGAAGTGGACTTCCCCACGAACTCCCCCCCCTCTCTCTGGGGTATACTGATAGGGGGGGGATCACACTGTCATACAGGGGTGTTCGTATGTTTGAGTGTGTGTGTGTGTGTGTGTGTGTGTGTGTGTGTGTGTGTGTGTGTGTGTGTGTGTGTGTGTGTGTGTGTGTGTGTGTGTGTGTGTGTGTGTGTGTGTGTGTGTGTACTCACCTAGTTGTACTCACCTAGTTGTGTTTGCGGGGGTTGAGCTCTGGCTCTTTGGTCCCGCCTCTCAACCGTCAATCAACAGGTGTACAGATTCCTGAGTACACCTGAGTAATTCCTGAGTGATTCCTGTGTGTGTGTGTGTGTGTGGCCAATTCGTACTCATGACGGTTCGAAAACGCTCTGTCGCTGTTTCAGACTCAGCTACTTAGAACAAAAGTTCCAAAGTAGCACGGGCTATGGTGAGCCCGTAGTGGACTTACCAGGCACAGGAGCGGTGGCTGTAACTCGTCTCTCTCCTCTCGAAAACTCTGGTTTCTCAACGTATATATATATATTATAGGTGGTGTTAGGCTCGATTGGATTAGGTGGGTGGTTTAGATTGGATAAGATTAGGTAGGTTTTACAATCCGCTGGCGAACTGTCACATCAGTGGGCATCACATTAGTGGATATCAGGTGAGTAGGCACCACACCAGTGGGTATATCAGTGGGCATGACATCAGTGGGTATCACCAGGGGTGTGTCCATAATGAGGGGACACACAAGGGGTCAGACCACAGTGAGGGGACACACAAGGGGTCAGACCACAGTGAGGGGACACACAAGGGGTCAGACCACAATGAGGGGACACACACAAGGTCAGACCACAGTGAAGGGACACACAAGGGGTTAGACTACAGTGAAGGGACACACAAGGGGTCAAACCACAATGAGGGGACACACAAGGGGAAGAGACCATAGTGGGGGGAGGGGGTACACACCAGGGGGGGTTGAAAGAACAATGGACACATATTCCGATAAGTTGTTATCAGCACAAGATTCAAGGAAGTCACTATATATCAGGGGAAGGAAAGGGGGGGGGGGCATATATATATTTTCATCCCCTAACATATGCTTATTGAGTGAGCTTTAGCTCCTGGGCTACGACTTTCAGTCACCTGTTGCTATGGCCCCCAGCCCTTTTGCTTCTTATAATACCTGGGTAAATATTTACTGCTTGGTGAACAGAGGCCTTAGGTGAAAGGAAATGTGCCCAACTGTTTCTGTCCTGCCAGGTAATTAAACCCAGGTCCCCTGGTTGTGAACCTAGGAGGTAGATCACATAGAGCATGGGAGCCACTCTCCATAATGTTCAATAAATCAGGTGAACTGCCAAAAATTTGGAAGACAGCTAATGTAGTCCCGATATTCTACAAGGGTGATAGACAGGCGGCACTGAACTACAGGTCAGTGTAGCTAACTTGCATACTATGCAACATGACAGAGAAGATTGTGCGGAAAAAAGCTAGTGGAACATCTGGAGCGAAATAACTTTGTAATGCAACATCAACATGGGTTCAGGGCTGGTAAATCATGCCTCACAGGATTAAGTGAGTTCTATGACCAGGAAACAAGAATTAGGCAAGATAGAGAAGACTTGGCAGACTGCATATTTTTGGATTGCCAGAGAGCCTTTGACACAGTACCACATCAGAGAATAGTGCACAAGCTGGAGATGCAGGCAGGAGTGAGAGGGAAGGTGCTCCACCGGACCAAGGAGTGCCTAAGTGTGACACCATAAAGGTGTTTTGTAGGTTATATCACATAGAATATGAGTCATATATGATATTTGAGGCGCCAGACTGTCTGTCTCTTAGCAATTAAAAAAGTCACACCTAGAGGAGTGACACACAAGTTGACAAGGGGTCAGGTCGTGTCAAATGGCCTTACCGTCTGCTAAGACGATAATTTCAGTCGGTTGGTGGTGTCTTACCACTAAACAAGCCGCTGTTTAAGATATTGTAGGCAGAAAGCCTGAGGCTAACTACTTAGTAGGCGGGGCTTAGCTCCCGCTTCCCCCATAAATACCCAGGGAACTGTACATTCAGGACAGATCAATCAGATACAGAGGTTCGAAGGTGGAGTAGGAGCGAGCCCACAGCTAGTCCAGGCTGTCAGACTGGATGACGACTCTGTCAATCGAGCCCCAGCCCTGTCTCTATCCAACTTAGCCCCAAAGACTTTGATGACTTGAACTCTAAGGTGGCAAATTAGGAGTGGTTCCAACTTAAGATGTTGTGTGATTTTCAGAGTCAGTCTTAGTGTCCTCAATGTCTTGTGTGGCGACTCACTTTAACGTATTCATAATAACATTTAAATTTCCCTGCTTAACGTGGAATATCCCTATGAACGAAGCTCTAATGTTAAATATATATTTTGTTAGCTTGTTGGTAAAGTTCACTTTAATTTTGTCCCTTAGATGTTCGTCAGTTGAGGCTGGTGCAGACAGCCCGCTGAGAGTACTGGCTGTAAGATTTTAATGATTCCAGTTGATACATTTGATAACAGCTTAGAGTACAGACAAGTTCCATTCCTTGTCTTGTATGTACAGAACTTGAATGGATGGTGGCAGCTCTTTAACTTTCCTGCCTCTCTACTTCTATTTTCTACCTTTTCTACTACTCTACCACTTTCTACTTTCCTCATTGATCCCATTCCCTTCCTCCCTCTAACTTCCCCTTCCTCCCCTTCCATAACCTTCCCACACCCCCTTCCACCCCTCACCTCACTTAATAATCCCTTCATTTCTTTTCATTTTTATTTTCCGGTCATGGCAGTGAATAGTATTAGAGTTCTCTAGCGCTACGCGGGAGCTGATCAGGTACAATGCCTTGTTTTTGTACCACCAAGGTAATCAAATACAGACGTGACAAGGTCTTGAACTAGAGAGGTTGCAGTAGGAGCTCTGAGGGAACTCTAGAATTAGTTAATTAAGGGCGGTTTAATGGATAAAAGAGAGCTATTAACCCCCCGGCCTGTTACAATGGTGGCAGCGGTGGGATAGAAGACAACAGAAGATAATAAAGGAGTACCTAAGCGACAGGAGACAGCGAGTCACTGTGAGGGGTGAGGTCTCGGAGTGGCGAGGCGTCACCAGTGGAGTCCCTCAGGGATAAGTGCTTGGACCTATACTGTTTCTGATATATGTAAATGATCTCTCAGAGAGAGAATAGACTCGTTCCTCTGTATGTTTGCTGATGATGCAAAAAACATATGAGGATTAAGATGGAGGAAGATAGTAGGAGGTTACAAGATGACCTAGACAAACTGAAGAAATAGTCCAACAAATGGCTACTAAAGTTCAACCCAAGTAAATGTAAGGAAATGAAACTAGGCAGAGGAAATAGGCCAGACACCGGATACCGAATGGGAGATGAAGTCCTTCACGAAACGAACAGAGAGAAAGATCTAGGAGTTGATATCACGCCAAACCTCTCCTGAAGCCCACATAAAAAGAATAGCATCGGCGGCATATGCAAGGCTGGCTAACATCATAACTCCCTTCAGAAACCTGGGTAAGAAATCTTTCAGAACCTTGTACACCACATATGTAAGACCAATCCTGGAGTATGCAGCCATAGCATTGAGCCCGAACCTTGTCAAGCATAAGTCGAACCTGGAAAAAGTTCAGAGGTATGCCACTAGGCTAGTCCCAGAACTAAGAGGCATGCATTATGAAGAAAGGCTGCGTGAACTGCACCTCACGTCACTGGAAGACAGAAGAGCCCTGGGAGACATGATCACCACATACATAATTCACAAGGGAATTGACAGGGTAGACAAGGATGGATTATTTAACACGGGTGGTACACGCACAAGGGGACACAGGTGGAAGCTGAGTGCCCAAATGAGCCACAGGGACGTTAGAAAGAACATTTTCAGCGTCAGAGTAGTTAGTAAATGGAATGCATTAGGCAGTGATGTGGTGGAGGCTGACTCCATACACAGTTTCAAGTGTAGATATGATAGAGCCCAGTAGGCTCAGGAATCTGTACACCAGTTGATTGACAGTTGAGAGGCGGGACCAAAGAGCCAAAGCTCAACCCCCCGCAAGCACAACTAGATGAGAGTACTTAAAATTATACTGCCTCTCCTAATTACTGTGCAGTCGGGCTTACGGAGCGGCGTGGGATGATCTTCTTGAGGTTATCTTGAGATGATTTCGGGGCTTTAGTGTCCCCGCGGCCCGGTCCTCGACCAGGCCTCCACCCCCAGGAAGCAGCCCGTGACAGCTGACTAACACCCAGGTACCTATTTACTGCTAGGTAACAGGGGCATTCAGGGTGAAAGAAACTTTTGCCCATTTGTTTCTGCCTCGTGCGGGAATCGAACCCGCGCCACGGGTTCCATGATGAATGAATATAATGAATATAATGAATATAATGAATATAATGAGTATAATGAATATAATGAATATAATGAATATAATGAGTATAATGAATATAATGAGTATAATGAGTATAATGAATATAATGAGTATAATGAATATAATGAATATAATGAGTATAATGAGTACCCAGAACCTACTGACCCGCGCGCATTTCCAATGTTTACATCAAACACGTGGTAGCGTGACGTCATGAAAACATTCGCCATCTAGCGGGAAGAATTTAAATTACAACGGCAGTAATATTACCATTACAAATATACCCAAATTATTAATGACACCAGTGATTAAACTTAATGTAAAGGATATAGTTTGGTCTATTATGCACCCAATACCCACCCTGTGAGTGGTGGTAGTAGATCCCTGTGACTGTGGATTATATACGTGGAGTAGATTATATACGTGGAGTAGATTATATACGCGGAGTAGATCATATACGTGGATTATATGTTATACTATATATCTTAGTATAAAAGGTTGAAGAACTAGATTCGAAGAATATCTAAGCTAACTAAATTGCATTTATGTTAAGCTTATTGCATAGAAATTTGATTTGCAAAAGGGAGATAATTCAGATTTCCTTCTTCTCAGCTTCTTGGAAGCTGAGGAAGCTTCTTGGAAGCTGAGGAGGCTTCTTGGAAGCTGAGGAGGCTTCTTGGAAGCTGAGGAAGCTTCTTGGAAGCTGAGGAGGCTTCTTGGAAGCTGAGGAGGCTTCTTGGAAGCTGAGGAAGTTTCTTGGAAGCTGAGGAAGCTTCTTGGAAGCTGAGGAGGCTTCTTGGAAGCTGAGGAGGCTTCTTGGAAGCTGAGGAAGCTTCTTGGAAGCTGAGGAGGCTTCTTGGAAGCTGAGGAAGTTTCTTGGAAGCTGAGGAAGCTTCTTGGAAGCTGAGGAGGCTTCTTGGAAGCTGAGGAGACTTCTTGGAAGCTGAGGAAGCTTCTTGGAAGCTGAGGAAGCTTCTTGGAAGCTGAGGAAGTTTCTTGGAAGCTGAGGAAGCTTCTTGGAAGCTGAGGAGGCTTCTTGGAAGCTGAGGAGGCTTCTTGGAAGCTGAGGAAGCTTCTTGAAAGCTGAGGAAGCTTCTTGGAAGCTGAGGAAGCTTCTTGGAAGCTGAGGAGGAATTGAGTGGCAACACGTCATCTTGAGTGGCAACACGTCATCTTGAGTGGCAACACGTCATCTTGAGTGGCAACATGTCATCTTGAGTGGCAACACGTCATCTTGTGTGGCACCTGTCATCATAACTTACCTCAGTGTGGCAACATCAGCTGAGGAAGAGAGGGGGCGTGTGGGACTCCTTCCCAGCCGTACCTGGCAACTTCTGGCGGAATGTAAACACAGCTGGTTGTGTTGTCATGGCAACACAACCGACGCTGCCGCTCGGTGAGGCGCGGTGATGTAATGTTTCGTCATGCACACACACACATACACATGCACACGCACACACACGCACACACACACACACACACACACACACACACACACACACACACACACACACACACACACACACACACACACACACACACACACACACACACACACACACACACACACACACACACACACACACACACACACACACACACACACACACACACACACATACACACACACACACATACACATACATACACACACACACACACACACACACACCACATTCTGTCTCAATCTCAACCCATGTCCTCTTTCCTCCCAAATCTCCCCCTCTCCACTATTCTCTCCCTCTTCCTCTCCTCTCTCTCTCTCTCTCTCTCTCTCTCTCTCTCTCTCTCTCTCTCTCTCTCTCTCTCTCTCTCTCTCTCTCTCTCTCTCTCTCTCTCTCTCAATATCCTCATATCTCACCTCTCTCTCTCTGCCCCCTCTCCTTCGTTTTCTCCTCTCTCTCTCCTACAATATCCCCCCCCCCTTCCTTCTCTTCTCTCCCACTACTCCGTCTCCCCCCCCCCCCTCTCTCTCTCTCTCTCTCTCTCTCTCTCTCTCTCTCTCTCTCTCTCTCTCTCTCTCTCTCTCTCTCTCTCTCTCTCAGAAAATGCAATATTTCGAAGCACTGAAACTGCTAAACAGTAATTGTAAACAGAGCCTCTACTTTTTTTGACCTTATGCAAATCGAAGATGGTGGTTATCTTGAGAGGATTTCGGGGCTTAGTGTCCCCGCGGCCCGGTCCTCGACCAGGCCTCCACCCCCAGGAAGCAGCCCGTGACAGCTGACTAACTCCCAGGAACCTATTTTACTGCTAGGTAACAGGATCATTAGGATGAAAGAAACTCTGCCCATTGTTTCTCGCCGGCGCCCGGGATCGAACCCGTGACTACGACCCTCCCCTACCCAATGCATCATGTGTAAAAGATGTGGGGGTAGGAAACTGATTTAAGAAACAGGAAAATATATTCGTGTCAAGGTGTCTGATAAGGCGTGTCCCTTGTTCCTTTTCTCTTATGCTTAGTCATTAAAGAAGTCCCCGGAAACCTGTCTAGCGAGCATAACATCAGGTTCTCGGATGAAGGTACCAAGGCTAGATGCCTGGGGCCACGAAGCGGTTACGCAAGCACTTACGAACCTGTACATCTTTTCTCAATCTTTGGCGGCTTTGTTTACAATTATTAAGCAGTTATAATGAGCTCCGAAGCACCAGGAGACTGTTTATAACAATAACAACAGTTGATTGGCAAGTTTTCATGCTTGTAAACTGTTTAATAAATGTAACCAAAGCCGTCAAAGATTGAGGAAAGATGTACATGTTCGTAAGTACTGGCGTAACTGCTTCGTGAATCTGGGCTTAGGATACCCAGCTGTAGGATATCAGAACATATCAAGAGCAAGGAGTCAACCTCCAGGCCTTACCCCGAAGTTTTCATATTGTGAAACTGTCTCCCACAGCCAACATTTCAAGTCAAAGATGTTTTGCCAAATATCATAGATGCCGAGAACAGCACTCTCCTTGGTGTTCATCTTGGGTCGGGTACCATCGACGAGGTCCTTGATAACAAGGTCATTGACCTGAAGACGATTGATAGTATAGAGACTAAGTACCCCCTCCCTGAACTCCTAAATGATATTATTGTTGACATTATTGAGAAAATCAGTAAGGTAGCCGTGAGGATGATTCGAACTTACACTCTAGGTACTCCCAAACACACACCTTAGCCCACTACCCCACGACATGCCAAAGACAATTCAACAGGGATTTAACTAAATCCTCTTGAGGTGATTTCTTTTGTATATTTGAAAAAATAGCATTTGAGGTAGATCGCCTTGCTAGCTCAATCCACTAAGCTCATGTCCTAGCTCAGTTTACTAAGACAGCGTCTGGGATCCTCTCGGACGCAGGTTCGAACCCTCGTCACGGCCCTTGTGGATTTGTTGCAAAGGGGAGCAATGTCTGAAACCCCGATTGGGCATCAGTGGAAGCCTCAGGAACCCTAGAGGATTCAGTCGAATTCCAGGTTGCAATTCTCTTTACCATGTCTTGGTGTAGTGGTCTAAGGCGTGTGCTTGGGAGTACTCGGGGAGCAGGTTCGAATCCATAGTCCCTAGTGATTTTTTTTATTGATACTCCACGTTAATGTGATTTCTATGTGTAGTGATATTATTTGTATTATTATTATTAACCTTGTACAGGTCGTAATGACTTTGTAGAGACGTGTAAGCTTAGATACACGAGTGGTGCAGCTGATAATGTCCTTCCCTCTCCCTCTCCCTCTCCCTCTCTCTCCCTTTCCCTCTCCCTCTCTTTTACTTACTGGCTTTCTCTATTTTCGTCTGTATTTCTCTTCCTATCATCTTACCCTGCCTCTTAGTTGCTCTCTCTCTCTCTCTCTCTCTCTCTCTCTGTCTCTCTCTCTCTCTCTCTCTCTCTCTCTCTCTCTCTCTCTCTCTCTCCTCTCTCTCTCTCTCTCTCTCTCTCTCTCTCTCTCTATCTCTCTCTCTCTCTCTCTCTCTCTCTCTCTCTCTCTCTCTCTCTCTCTCTCTCTCTCTCTCTCTCTCTCTCTCTCTCTCTCTCTCTCTCTCTCTCTCGGTCTCTCTCTCTCTCTCTCTCTCTCTCTCTCTCTCTCTCTCTCTCTCTCTCTCTCTCTCTCTCTCTCTCTCTCTCTCTCTCTCTCTCTCTCTCTCTCTCTCTCTCTCTCTCTCTCTCTCTCTCTCTCTCTCTCTCTCTCTCTCTCTCTCCTCCCTCCCTCTCTCTCTCTCTCTCTCTCTCTCTCTCTCTCTCTCTCTCTCTCTCTCTCTCTCTCTCTCTCTCTCTCTCTCTCTCTGTCTCTCTCTCTCTCTCTCTCTGTCTCTCTCTCTCTCTGTCTCTCTCTCTCTCTCTCTCTCTCTCTCTCTCTCTCTCTCTCTCTCTCTCTCTCTCTGTCTCTGTCTCTCTCTCTCTCTCTCTCTCTCTCTCTCTCTCTCTCTCTCTCTCTCTTGCTTCCTCAATCCCCTTCTTTATTTTAACTATTTCTCTTTCTCTTATTTCCTATCAGTCTCTCTGCTCTCCTCTCCTTTCTCGCCTCTATCTTGTTTACAATGGGTGAGCACGTGGTCTTGTTTACAATGGGTGAGCACGTGGTCTTGTTTACAATGGGTGAGCACGTGGTCTTGTTTACAATGGGTGAGCACGTGGTCTTGTTTACAATGGGTGAGCACGTGGTCTTGTTTACAATGGGTGAGCACGTGGTCTTGTTTACAATGGGTGAGCACGTGGCCTTTGTTTACACTGTACGCATGTTGATGTCAATAACAATAACATGTGATATTGTTAAACCAAATACGCACAAATACGCACAAGTTCCCAGTAGTATATAGTCTGATATACCTAATGCATCTGTTCACCCAGGTACTCCAGGGGTTAGTTAGCTTGTTGTGGGGTAGTAAGCAAACCTTGAAGGGGGGGAGGGTAGGGGAGGAGGGTGTGAAATCTATATAAGCCTAACATGTATGTATACACTCTGTCTGCCTGTCCCCCACCCCCCTCAATGAGTTATTATTAAATTATAGTTTTAGCCAATGTCTGACCTTGTTTACAAATGAAGCACCAGACCTTGTTTGCATCGTAAGACAATTACGCAAGTTACAGGTGGCTTTGTTTACTATGAAGGTCACGTGGTCTTGTTTACAATGGGTGAGCACGTGGTCATATTTACAGAGGTTTTTTTTATGTTTAGGTTTGAAAATAATGTGTCGTTATATCCATTAGAAAAATAATAACATAATGGCAGCCTCGCCAACAAGGAAAACAACATCAGGAGGGGAATAATGCAGGCAGGCAGGCAGACAGACAGACAGGCAGGCAGGCAGTCATGTAGGCAGACAGACAGGCAGGCAGACAGAGAGGCAGACAGACGGACAAACAGGCAGTCATGTAGTCATGTAGGCAGACAGACAGACAGACAGACAGACAGACACAGACAGACACAGACAGACAGACAGACAGACAGACACAGACAGACAGACACAGACAGACAGACAGACAGACAGACAGACAGACAGACAGACAGACAGACAGACACACACACACACACACACACACACACACACGCACACACACACACGCACACACACACACAGGCAGGTAGACAAACAAAATCAAGCAGACAGACAGACAGGCAGACAGTCATGCAGCCAGCCAATCAGACAGCCAGGCAGACAGTCAGTCAGTCAGACGCCACTCACCCCCACCGCGTCACCAGCCAATCATACGAGCTGGTACACCAATAAGCGTGTCCCCTGGTATTGGCTCCCTCATCCACACTACCCCTGCCCTTATACAGCACAAGTATAAGGGGAGAGTATTACCTACAGTTCCTAATACCATCTAGGTGGCGCTGTCTACCCACATACCAACGTGGTAACTGAACCACACAAGGAGAGAACTGGAAACAGGTGTTTCCTGAAACGTCGTCGTCCCTTCAACTTCTAGTGTGTGGTCTGGTCAACAGGTATTACATATATTTATTAAAAAACACATTTGATCTGATCATATACTCTAAAACTACATGAAGGTATATATATATATTTTGTCAAGAGCTAGCTATGTCATGCTATAATTCCCCATCTTACAGGTGGTATATCCATAAGGTTCCTTGTGTTCAGTAGGCTCTGAGGATATCTTCAAGAACACGAGAGGTAATAAAGTAATTGCAAAGCGCCAGGTACC